TCTGGGGGCCACGCTGGTCCTCGCCGCCGGGGCCGCGCCGGGTAGGTAACGACTGCGACCGAGACCTCCGGGACCTTTGCGCCCCACCCGGGGCCAGGCTCCGGCCGGTCTCAGGTACTGGCGGAGTCCGCGAGCTGTGGCAAGGGGGCGGGGCACCGCCTTGCCCAAGGCCGGGCGGGGAAAGGGCCCTCCAGGAGATGGGGGGCTTGGGGGAGACCGAGCAGTGGGGGGCCGCGCGGACCCCGGAGTGCAGATCAAGGTGTGGACCGGGGGAGGGGGTCTGGAGTGGGCGGGGCCTGAGTGTGAGACTTAGGGGCGGGACCTGTCCGTGATGGGGGGGCTTGAGGATGCCAGTCCAGGGCGGAGCCTGGGGTGCGACTTCAAGGCGGAGCCTGGAGATGAAGTGCCGTCCTGAAGGGAAGACGGCATGGGACCAGAATGGGAACCGCGGTGGTTCGACTGCGGGCCCTTTGGGGGCGGGGCCTGAAGCGTGAGGGGCGGGGTTGAGCGGGGAAACGAGCGCGTTAGAGCCCAGCTTCCGAGGCGGGGGCGGGGCGGGGCTTTAATATGGGGCGTGGCCTTGGGAAACTTGAGGTGGCGGCAGCAGCTCCCGTGCAGTCTGGAAGCGAAGGCGGGGCGGGGCCCTACCGCGCGCGCCTCCCTGATGCCCCGCCCCTCCCTCCCTCCCTCCCTCCCACAGCGCGCGAGGCGGGCAGCGCCGTCGAAGCGCAGGAGCAGGTGAAGAGTGTTCTGACGCGGGAGCCGCGTGCCAACAGCACGCGGGAGAAGACCGGCCTGCCAGCAGCTGGGAAAGATGAGACCCCGTGGAACGCGCCCGCCGGCGAGCAGGCCATGGTGGGCCAAGGGGTGGGGGCAGAAGAGACGCTGGAGGCATCTGCCGCGGTGACAGACACCGCCTGGCTGGAGGCTGACAGCCCAGGCCTGGCAGGAGTGACCGCAGAGGCGGGCAGCGGTGACACGCAGACCCTTCCATCCACTCTCCCGGCTCTTGAAGAGGTCCTCGGGCAATCTTTGATGACTCCCACTGCCCCTGAGGCTACAGAGGCTAGGGGACCACTCTCCCCCACCCCTGGTGACAAGCTGAGTCCAGGCTCTGAAATCCCCAAGGAGAGCCCCTTGGAGGTTTGGCTGAACCTGGGTGCAAGCACACCTGACCCCCATGGGCCAGAGCCCACATACCCCTTTCAGGGCACACTGGAGCCCCAGCCGGCTTCAGATATAATTGACATCGACTACTTCGAAGGATTGGATAGTGAGGGCCGTGGTGCTGACCTGGGGAGCTTCCCAGGGTCTCCAGAAACCTCAGAGCACCATCCTGATACTGAGGGAGAGACCCCTTCCTGGAGCCTGCTGGACTTATACGATGACTTCACCCCCTTTGATGAATCTGATTTCTACCCCACCACATCTTTCTATGATGATCTGGAGGAAGAGGAGGAGGAGGAAGAGGATGACAAGGATGCAGTGGGAGGTGGAGACCTGGAAGATGACAATGACCTTCTAGTGCCCACTGAGAGGCCTGGTCTGGGACCTGGCGTGGGCCAGCCCACCAGTCGGTGGCACGCTGTACCTCCACAGCATACTCTGGGGATGGGTCCTGGCAGCAGCATTGCGCTCAGACCCCGCCCAGGAGAGCCAGGCAGGGACCTGGTCGCTGGCGAGAACAGCACCGAGTGTCGCAGCGGCTTTGTGCGGCATAACGGCTCCTGCCGGTCAGTGTGCGACCTCTTCCCGAGTTACTGTCACAATGGCGGCCAGTGCTACCTGGTGGAGAACATAGGGGCCTTCTGCAGGTAAGGGTGTGGCAGGCAGGCACACAGGGTTTGGTAGAGGACTGGAGCATGAAGATGAGGGAGAATTTAGCAAAGGGGAATTTGACAGGCACAACTTCCAAGAGGTACACAGATTCTCTGGTGTCTTCCACAGTCACCTCTTTTCTTTGAAGAATGTCATTGAGATTTTTATGGGGATGGCATTAAATCTGTATATTGCTTTTGGCAGGATGGCCATTTTGATGATGTTAATTCTCCCAATCCATGAGCAGGGGACCCACAGTCACCTCTTAAATATACTTTCTGTGATCTCATCACTAGGAAAGGGTCCTGAGAAATAGAATTTGTTTCCTCTTAAATGTTGTGTTTTTTTCCAAACCATTAAACTATAAGGCAAAATGGAGGGACTTTCTAAAGGTGGTAGAAAGAGAATTTTGGTGGTTTAATGGGCTTTTGTTGGAGAGCTCTGACTATACTAACAAAAAGAGTAGGGGAATGGTAGGTCACTGCACACTCCCACAGAGCCATGGGTCTAGGAGGAGGGGCCCCCTTTTCCCTGCAGGGCATAAACAGGTGTGAGCATGTAAAATCAGCGGGTCCCTTTTCAAGGGCAGACCCAGAGCCACACAAGCAGGGCTCTCAAGCTGAGCGCCTGTCCTGGTGTTGTGGATATGCTGAGGTTTCTTAACTTGGGTAGTAGGTTGTGTTTTTTTTGTTTGTTTGTTTTTTCTTTGACTTTGTCTTCCTTGGGATGGATACTCAGTCCCTAGCGGTTTAGACAGTGTAGTGTCTGTCAGGGCCTTATCTGCAGTTGTGATCAGGCTCCACCCCTGCCTCATCACAATTCCTCCAGACCCCTAGCCTCAGGTCAGACAGTGAGGTATTTACTGGAAAGCTCGACTTACTTGGGAAGAATCACACATCAGGGGTGATGTGGGTGGTTAGCTTGTCTCTATCCTTTACAGGTCCTAGAAGTGGAGTAGAACATTCGGATTCCCTCAGGCTTGTTTCCCTTGGCCTGGGGGAGTTTTTCTGTAGTATGAGTTTCTTTTTTAACTGTCATTCCAAGGTTCTCTTGGTCTTTAGGAGTTATTTGAATGTAAGATTTCAAATCCTGTAGTTCTGATCTGATAGAAGAATCACACATAAAAAGCATCAGTGTTGTGCTTTTGGCATTCAAGTTTGAGTTCCGGTTCCAGGCTGTGAAGCTTTCTATAAATGATTCTGACTTTAGGGTTACTTGTATAGGATGTGTCTACACAGTTCTGGTTGGTGTTGTGTAGCCATGACCAAAAGGAGGAAATTATGGAGATGATCTCTTGCCAGTTAGCTAAGAGCTACAAGAAATGTGTGATTTTTACTCTTCAGACTCTATTTAGGGGGACCATAAAGAAGATTTTAGCCTGGCAGCTGTGGAATTTTTGTACAAAATCATTATGGATCATCCTATTGGAGAGCTGAGTTTTTTACCTTCAGAGTAAGCTCCTGACAGAGTATGAAATTGTAGACTCTTAAGAACTAGAAAAGTCCCCAGAACCTCCAGGAGCTCTCAGGGGACTCCCATATAAGAAAGGGATGTCCACCTCGCAGTACTGACCATGGATCCTCCAAGAGGTTTCTCCTCAAGTCTGTCCCAGGACCTCTGGCCCACCTACCTCCCAGGATCACATTTGGGCCTCCCTATCAGAGATCCCTACACTGTCTGTGGACACACAGGCCTGCCTGTAGCTTGAAAACTGCTTTGTATTCCACTCACAGGATACTGCTGAGCCTTTAGTTGCAGACTGCAGCGTGCCTTTGTCTCTGTCACCCTGACCTACTGCAGGGAAATGAACAGAGCAGTGGCAGAACTTGTCTAGAACAGTGGGGTAGAATGGTCTGCTTTCCCCAGCATCCTCAAACAGATAGCTGCAGAGGATCAGTGGAAAAAGAAAGAATTCCCTGTTAGCTTTCTTTGCCCACCCTATTCTGGGTGTGGATCAGACTATTCTCCCATGCATAATTTCCCCATTTCTGGATCCCTTTCTCTTGCTTGTATTCAGCCTAAGGTTCATGTCCTCCGTCCTTTGCTGCCTCTGTATCCTTCCACATCTTTTCTCTTTGAAGCAGCCTGGTTCCCATGGAAACAGCAATGTCATTGGAAGAGCTGGAGCCTGGGAATGTCCCCAAGGGCAAGAGAAAGTCACTCAACAAAAGGATAAAACCCACCCAGAGGGTTGATTCTCACTTGCTCTCATGACAGTTCTCACGGTATTAGGATAGGAAGCTTTCAGGGCAGAACTTTGGGGGATGCAGAGAGAGGAGAATTTCATACATCCAGCTTTGTGTTTGTCCTTGTCTGTCACTTCCCTATTTTTCACTGTCTGGTTAGCCACGTGAACTAGATGAGACTGCAAAGCAGCAAGGTAGGTTTTCATGTGTAGGGTGGATCCTGCCACTTTGTAGCCATCACTCCTATTCACCTTATTTTTCGTCTTTCTTTCACCCAGAGATCAGTGCAGGCAGGGGCCTGAAAGAATCCTCTGGTTGCCCCCATTAAGGCTGCAAGGTGGAAGGTCAAGGTTCAGTTGCTCCTTGGTCACTCAATAGTCAGGTAACAGACCATTTCACTTGTTTCTTCAGTGCGTGGTTGCCTTATTTATATTATGTGCCTCAGAGGTCCACTTCATAGGGTTAGGCAAGAATATCAACTGTAAGGTCTGAAGATGAGGGACATACCTCTAGATGGTCTTAGAAAAGGCTGTTGACATAAGTGCTGGGGTCAGAGAGAATTTGCTGTGGCCATCGCAGCCTGCCCCTCCCTCAGTCTCTCTGTCGCTGTCGCAGGTGCAACACTCAGGACTACATCTGGCACAAGGGGATGCGCTGCGAGTCCATCATCACCGACTTCCAGGTGATGTGCGTGGCTGTCGGCTCAGCTGCCCTCGTGCTGCTCCTGCTCTTCATGATGACTGTGTTCTTTGCCAAGAAACTCTATCTGCTCAAGACAGAGAACACCAAATTGCGGAGGACCAAGTGAGTATGTCTCAGCCAGTCTCACCCTGACTCTGCGGCTGTGTTCTTCCATCTGATCCAAGGATGTTATCATAAGGGTTTCTGGTACCTGCTCTCATCCCTAGTTGTGTTTTCCATATCAGAGATTTCCCCCTACACAGCATATGCTGAAATTGCATCAGACACTAAGCCCCTGAGCCATGCTGCCACGATTCAGCCCCATTCCCATCATCCTCCATGCTGAGAGAGAGGCTGCTTCAAGGAAACCAGGGTATAGCTAGCAACTCCTGGCTCTGGTCCCAAGTAGGTTACTGTGTTTGATCCCCCACCCCTCATTAACTGCACCTGCTTCTGACACCCCTGGCCTTAGCAGCCAGTGGCTAGAGTGAGAATCTTGCTCACAAATCAGAATAAAATAACCCCACTACCTGAAAGTCTGCTCCCACTCAATACCAACTGTTCCTCATGGAATTCTGAGGAGAAAGGGTTTGCACTGGCAAGCATTACTGTTCAAAGCTTATCCATGCTTAGCCCAGTCAGAAGTACAAGAAACGTAAAAGAAATCCTCTTTATCTCCTCTAAGTAGAATCTGGGTTAGTGGCAAGAGGAAAGGCCTAAGGTTAACTTCCTCTACTGTGGATTTTATGCACCACAGGGGGATACAGGATCTCATTTCAATTCTTCCTTTATCAGAAGAGTGAGTGTTATGTGCATGTGAGAATCTACATGCATTTACCCTTTAAGTTCATGCCTCGAACATTTGAATGTGGCCTTATGCAGTATGAATCACTGCACTCCGCAAAGAACCTTCTGAAATGTCATGGGAATCACAAAAGGCCCAAGAGACAATATATGCAGAACTGCCCCCACCTCCTTTTCAACCTGTTGCCCTATTAATCCCTTCCCCCTGACCCAAGACTCTCTCACCAGAGAATGTGACTGAAGGACTTTCCCTGGGTCCTGGGAAAAGGACAAAACACCATCTGTTGCTCCTTTGCTGGGTAGACTCCTGAAATGCGCAGATGCCACAACTTTCTGCGGCCTTTCAGCTAGTTGTCGTGGGGCTCAAGGGGCCCCTCCATTGTGCCTGTGCACTGAGGCAGACTGTATCTGTACATGTGATCACTAGCCAGGACCCTTGCTTCCACAAGCTGACATGTGGGGGTCGGGGGGTCTCCCAAATCAAGGCAGCTGCTAATGAAGATGAGAGAAAGAAGAAGCAACCAGCAAGGAAGAAGATGCGAAAACTGTGGCCACGGAAAGGGCCTCGGCCTCAGTCCAGGCCTTTTCCCTTTAACTGGCTATGTGCTTTGCATGACTCCTGCACCTCTTCAGCTCAGATGCTGCTTCCTTTGTTTCTCCCTGCATGCCTTCTTTCTTTCCCAAGCTAGGTTACTGCTTTAATATCACTGCATGTGTCCGGGACACTACAGATAGTGGAGCATGTACTGATTCTAAGATCCACATTTTTTCCACATATTAACATCTTTGAAGTTGGTTTGTATCTTACAATCACTGGCATCTTGTAATCACTGTTGGCCAGATGGCAGTGATGATGCAGTTGTAATTGCCTGGCATGCATGAATGTGACCGTGGCTGTTCATATCGCTGTCAGTTCTGTGTCTAGAGTCTAAATGAGCTACTTCAAGTATGTAATAAAAGTGCTAGGCAAAAAAGTATCAGATCCTGGTTTAAATGGTTTAAGTTTCCTTCTCATGGTACATCATCTTATTAGAGTCTGTAGCAATTGTTGGCATATAGTATTTGACCTATGAAGCTTTTGTCAGATCTCCCCCATGATCATTTCACTTACATTTTCCTTTCTCTCTTTGTTCTAACCAGCAAATTCCGGACCCCATCTGAGCTTCACAACGATAACTTCTCCCTCTCCACCATTGCTGAGGGCTCTCACCCAAATGTAAGGAAATTTTGCAGCACTCCCTGTTCCTCCTCCCCTCATGCCCATGTCTTGGCTCACTATGATAACGTTATCTGTCAGGTAACTTGTCTTCTTCACATGTTCCCTTATGCATGTTTCAACACCTGCCCATGTCTTCGTTCTAATTCAGGGCGTGGAGCCACTCCTCAGAGCTCTGGAAATCAGCTTAGGGCAACAAGCTGGGGCGGTGAAGGTGGGGAACAGATGTACCCCCAAGCAGAGTCATAGGTAGTAAAGAGGATCTTTATCTAAGATGGCTCATGGTGTTTAGCTTCACCCTTTAGGAGTCTCATTTTTGTGTTTCAGGAGAAAGGGCTCTGCTAGGGATGTTCATTGCTAGAGAATTTCCTGATGGTCAATGGAGCCAATGGTGTTTGCTCTTTGGAATGAATGGAAAACCGTGTCCTTGAAGCTACTCAAATACCCTAAAAACCGGCAGGCTTACACAGTAGGCCTGAGGTGAGCCTAAAATGCTCGTGGAGTAAAAACATCTAGGTAAATTCTGTTCTTAGGAGGATGGGCTTATAAAAATTAGTTAAAACCAATAAAAACCCAATGTACCATTTTCTAAAGACATCAGTTTCCAAAGGCCTTCTGTGTTGCCTGCACCAGGTTAACAGGTAAAATAATGGCTACTGCTGGAGAGAATTTCAGAAATAAAGCAGAAACCATCCAAGCCCCAAATCATGTCACATCCAAATCCCAAAATTCTGCACATGACCCAGGCCCCTACATCATTAAATGCATCATTTAAACAAGTAAGGGAACTAAACAAAAACCCTTCAGACAGAAATAAGGGAATTTAAGAGAAAATTTTGACATTCTTTGAAATAAAGGACCATACAATACTAGAAGTTATAGGAGCCCTAACAGACTACACCAGTGCTACTGGTGGAATGTCTGTAAGATAGAACCGCTCTATATCTGCACTAACCACTGCAGCAGCCATTAGCGACCACACGATAGAACTCTGAAATGTGGCTACTGGTACCACATTGGACAACACAGATGTAGATCATTGCCTTCTTTTTATAGGTGGGGAAAAGAATAGTCTAAGGAGGAGAAAGAGAATAATAGCAAATGTGGCCTTGTCCACCAAACCCAAGAAAAGAAAACTTGGTCTGGTGGAGAAGGAGTTAAGGGCATCAATCTAATAAAACATGAAAATCTAAGATAAGTTTTTAAAGTGTCTGATATAAAGGGTAGAAATAAATGATATTTTACTTGGTGTGCACCAAGATATTAATAAGTTCAAGTAGATGTAATAACCAAGGAAACAAGATGTCCTGAACACTTTAAGATTGATGACCTCATTAATGAGCCCACAACCATTTAAGTACCTTGAGCAAGACAGAATCTTGCTCATCTTGGGGCATTCCATCTAGGCATTATGCAGTCCTTTGCAACAATACGCATTTGCCAGTCATTTATGGAATCCTAGTGAGTGATGGCCTGTCGCACAGAATCTCGGTTCTGCTGTCAGATGTGCCATCTCCTTCCAGAGGGTCCTCTGGAAAGTTTCTGACACATGCATTTCTGGCACCCGGTATAGACACCTCTCTTCAGTCCAAAGGGGGTTGGAGGATAATAGCTCCTCTTGGAAGATTTGGTTGTATGACCAGAGAAATGTTTTTTGTTCTTTTTGGCTAATCCATCTTGATGGAAAGCAAGGCATTTGTTGGGGAAAACTAACATTGACCTTGAGTTCAGAATGTGGCAAGTGTTGAAAATGGAGCAGAGCAGGGGGATAATTAGATGTGGTAGACTTGGCCTGAGAAGGCTGGTGGTAGGAGGGAGGGGGTTTGTCTAGGCAACACTCAGGGAATCCTTCACAGCAATGATCTCTGACTCCTCTTGGTTTTTTTTTTTTCCCTAAGATTTGTTTATCCATACTGAACTGGGGTACAGGCCAGAGGTGCAGGGGTGGTGAGAGGATTCACCAGAGACAGAGCAGGGAGCAGAGTAGGCAGATCAACAAAGTACACTGCTGAGAGGAGTGGTACTGTGCTTTAACCTGTTGCACCACCAAGGAGGATCCTCCTCTTGGATCTTGAGAATCATTTGTAGGAGACACCCTGCCTTGTCTGACAAAGCTCCGGATGTAGGCATGACTCCTGGCCAGCAGAGGGTGAACTGGGAGTTTTCATACCATCTTCTGTAATTCTCTCCATGTAGCCAGAAATCAGACCTGGTCATCTTCAAGATCTTGTGGGTATTGACAGTTAGACAGTTGCCACTTTATTTTGAAGAGAAGCCCTAGTCACTGCTTCAGCCACCACACTGACTGTTTACAGATGAAGCTGGCAGCAGGATGAACATCAGACCACCTCCGGCAAGCTAGGAGGTGAACTGACAGGCATCCAAGTCAAGCTTGTTCATTTAGCCTGCCCCCTTTCCTTCCAGCTTCCCACCCTCCAACCTCCTTATTGATATTGGTGTTTCCTAACATTTTGGAGAGCTCTTTTTATCACCAGAAAGGAGTTATTTTCCTTATAGATAAAGTGGGTTGAATGGATCAATTTTCTTCCCAGGACAGGAAACAAAACTGGGCGACACAGGTGTAGATCATTGCCTTCTTTCATAGGTGGGGAAAAGCTTAGTCTCAAAAGGGGAAAGAGAATAATAGCAAATGAGGCCTTGTCCACCAAACTCCAAGCAAAAAAGTGTCACTAGCAGTCTGAGGCCAGGGTGGGTTATGGATATGTGTTAGCAGTACTCCCCACTCCTCCCCCAGCCTCCACCCCCAAGCCTGGCATCATCTTGCGGGCTGGGGGTGGGGTGGCCCAGGGCTCTCCCAGGTAGATACAAGGCTCTGTAACCATGAGTCAGAGGCTGAATATGTGTAGCTGGGCAGTCAGCCTAGGAAGGAATCATCAGGAGCTCCTCAATCCCTGCTGTGGAAGTTTGCAAGTTTTCTAGGAGGAATGACCAGTGTGTAGAAAACTGGATGATGTCCAGATACACAGCATGAAAGAAGTCACCTGAAATCCACAGGCAACTTGCCCAGCGCTGAGAGCTGCCCTCTAGGTTCTCAGCTGTGCCATCAATGGAATGTTGCAGGTCCCAGAATTTGGCAGACTTTCCAGGATTTCAGTTTATCATGAAGTCTTCACCATACTGTCCCTTGGTGCCTTTTCCTCCCCATTTAAATCTTTCTTTTTAGACTTTCTTCCATGTATTTGGTAAAGCGTTAACTGCCCACATCTTCTGATAGAGATTTATGTCTAGACAAGTAGGAGCCCATATGAACCTCCATTCCCCCTGGGCTGAGGATGCCCATACAACTGGAGTATGAATGGGAGAGGGTGTATATAGTAGTGCCCAGGACTTATGCCAGAGGGAGGTCCATCTCTCTGGTGATGAGGGACTTCTGCTAAACTGAAGGCAGATGGGTGGGCCTTCTGCTGAGAGATTCAGTAACCTTAGACTTCATAGGATTGAGGGCTGGAGGAAACACTTGGGTTAGGATAACTCCACCTTGGTTTAGAAACCCTTCATCTATTTGTTGGAGGAAATTACAGTAGTATTGTTTGCATACCTTTTTCTTATTTGTAGACTACACTTCTCCTGTCCTTGGCCCAAGATGAACCCTGCAGGCAAGGTTTAATTTATCCTTCACCTTCATAGGATCAAAACTCTTGTCTTGCCTTTGCCTTTTTTTTTTTTTAAAGATTTATTTATTTGTGCATACAGAACTGGGGTATAGGCCAGAGACTCAGGGGTGGCGAAAGACTTCACCAGAGACAGAGTGGGGAGCAGAACAGGCAGATCAACAAAGCACTGCTGAGGGGAGCAGCGGGCGGGTCAGGAGAGGTCTGCCGCGCCATGTGGTCACCTCCGGGGCATGCGGAAGTGGTTTCAGCTTCTTCGTGCTGTGCTTTAACCCGCTGTGCCACCAGGGAGGGCCTTGCCCTTGCCTTTTAGGACTCCCTGACTCCACCTGTTTTTAACATTAGAATGTCCCTGTGTCTTTATTTGCCCCAAAGTGTGTGTGTGACAGAGGGCAAAGGGAGGTTATCTTGGAAAACGTGAATGTGAGTTTCACCCTTGTGGGATGAGAGTTGAATATAGGTCATCCTGCCTATAGGTTATCACTGTCCATACTACCCAAGATCTTTAGTGGTTCAACTTTGAAGCACTTATGCCCGGTATATTCCCCAAATGATATAGAAGTTCACAAAATAAAAGGTGAATTTCTTCATGCTACTTCCCTCTCCATAAAAACTGTGTGTATTTGTGTGTGTGATTTCAAAGTTTATCTGAATATCTCCAAGCAGTGACAGAAAATATCAAGGGCTATGGGTTGCTATGCATGGCCACGTCGCCTGAAATCTGCCTCCATACCTTATTAATTTCTTCTTATTCTTGTCTCATTGGACATGGAGAACATGTGTTTCCCTAGTTGTCTGTAAGTCATATCTGAGGTCTTTGAAATTCCATTAAATCACTCTGTGCAGGCTAGTCTTCTGGATAAGTGCTAAGTGAGGCTGGCAGCGGGGGAGGAGACTGAGGTTTCTACATGCACAGTACTTTTGAACACTGTAGTGTCCGACATACTTGTGGACTTTTCCCTACTTTCTTTCCAGCTCCTCACTACCCTAACTTAGCATTGCTGTAGATCAAACTCAGTAGCAGGCAGCATGGACAAGAGCTCATCAAAGTTTTATGAAGAATGCCCTGGTCCTTGTGCAAGGTTTGCACTAGCTGGTTAGATAGGGACCTTCTCTCCCTTCTTACCACGTTTACCTGCCTGGGTGCTTACACAACCTCTTTGATCAGCAGATTTCCAAGCACTTAAAATAGTTATTGGGGACATCAGACAAAGTTAGGCCCACTGAATTGTGCTGGGCTATAATTCCCTTGGTGATCCTAAAGGGAAAGAATAGTGGGAAGACAAGAATTTTTTGAATGCCTAGAAAGAAGAATTGGAGGACTATGTGGTAGTGTGGTTTTCCTGAAGACATTTATAACAGGCAGCTTCAGTTTGGATTCAAGGACTTGGCAGAGGGCTACAAGTAACATACATGGGTAGGCAGGAGATCATGAGCCACACTGAAAATAGATTGTGAGCCAGCAACATGAATATTATCTGATGCAAAGTACGGCAGGCCACATAGGCAACTGGAATCATCCAGTCTTGGGTTAAGAAAAAGCCTCTGAAGTCGTATTTCCTGGTAGGTAAACTGATGAGAGGCTCCCATACCTTTAACTTCTAGTAGGGGGCCATTTGTTGGAAGGGCTCCCACTTCACCTGACTAGAGTGCTGCACACACCCCGCCATCTGCCCTAACAGGAAGTGTTCCCTGACCGAGCAGGATGGGAGGCCATGGGGAGGAGCGCTGGCAGGCTGAGCAGAGCTCATCAACACCTGAGCATTTGGAGGGACTGGACTAAGCATTTAAGACATAGTATTAAAAGGGACTGTTTCTCCTCAGTCTCAGTTAAAGAGAAATCATGGCTGACCTAAACTAAAGGGAATTTGTAATCCAATTTTCATCTACACCTGGCCATTGTTTTTGAAAGTGACCTTCCTAAAAAGCAGCTGCTGATGAGTTACTCTGGTTCATTCCAAGTCTTAGCACTTTCTCCCTTTCATCAGTAGGCATCTTTCAGCCAGACAGAAAAGCCTGGGACTGTTTCCTTCCTGCCCCTCCTCACCTTTTTTCCTCTTCCAGGATGATCCTAGTGCTCCCCACAAAATCCAGGAAGTTCTCAAGTCCTGCCTGAAAGAGGAGGAGTCATTTAACATCCAGAACTCCATGTCCCCCAAACTTGAGGGTGGCAAAGGTGACCAGGCTGACTTGGATGTGAACTGTCTTCAGAATAACTTGACCTAAAGCAGAGCAAGAAGAGAGGAAGTGGGGGTGGGGGGAGGGGAAGAAACATTATCTCCTCTTGTACAGTCTATTTCTTGTAACCATTTGTTAAACTCTTCTTTTTCTGATCTCATGGCATGCTTTGGTGTATTTTGTACAGGAGGGGAAAAACACAAAATAAGCAAAGAACCTGAACAGGATTGCATACATTGGATTGTTTTGTCTGTGCTGTCTGTACATTGCTTCTGCTGCTGTGATTTCTAAACCTATGCTGTTATTCAACTGACTTTTTTTTTGTACTTTGACCCACCTTTTTTTGAAATACCAGTAAAAAACAAAATTCTTGAAATAAAACTTTTTAAAAAGCTATCTATTTTCCTAATGTCATTGTGTCTGTTCCTTACCTGTTCTTGTTAGTTTGAGTTGAATTTTTACTTTCATTGAAGATGTATATTTGTTCATTTTTGACATCCCAGAGATAGTATACTAGCTCAGACTGCTATGACGAAATACCACAGACATGGTGCCTTAAACAATAGCAGTTCATTTTCTCCCAGTTCTAGAGACTGGAAGTCCAAGATCTAGGTGCCAGTAGGCAGTTTTCTGCCAAGGTTTCTTCCTGGTTTGCGAGCATAAGCCTTCTTCGTGTGTGCTCACATGGCCTTTACTCTGTGCAAATGCAAGCAGAGAGTCCCTGGTGTTTCTTCCTCTTGTTGTGAGGACACCAGTCCTACTGGATTAGACCCCATCCTGACGACCGCTTCTTCCTTAGCTACCTTCTTCTAGGCCCTATCCTCAAACACCTTCACACTAGGGCTTAGGGCTTCAACGTATGACTTTTGGAGGGACATCACAGACTCTAGCACCTATTTTTAAGAATACTGTCATTCTTTCACAAATAAAAGGACATCTCTGTGACAATGATGATGGCAGACAGTAGGGGAATTTTAGGAATCCAAGGAGCAAATGCAGATGGATTAGATTGTTAAACTTTCAAATAACCAGAATTAGAACTGTTTGCTTATGTTCAATCTCTGGTAATTCCAATAACCTGAATCCTTGTGAATGTGTTTCTGTCACCTAATTTCTGCTGTGTTTCCCTGATTTGCCTTCTAATGTCCCTTATTATTGTTTATTTCATACTGGACATTGTATTTTGAGAATTTGTTGAAAAAAATTTTTTTAAGATTTATTTATTTATGCATACAGAACTGGGGTACAGGCCAGAGGTGCAGGGCTGGTGAGAGAAATCACTAGAGACAGAGTGGGGAGCAGAGCAAGAGCAGCGGGCGAGACAGGAGAGGCCTGCCGTGCCACGTGGATCTCCTCCGGTGCCGCGGATCAAACTTGTACTGAAGTGGCTATGGCCAGCTTCACAGTGCTGTGCTCCAACCCACTACGCCACCAGGGAGGGCCCTTGTTGAAATATTTTGAGGACTAGCATGATTTCGCCCTTTTGAGATTTGCATTTGTGTCAGGTGTCCAGTGGTACTAGAATTCTGGGATTACGTTAATCCAGGTTCAGTATTGGAAAATTTGGGGGACAGTGATGTCAGATCACAGGCCTGTCAGAATATGCAAGTGCTGGTTTTGCCCTTAGCCCTGGAGCACAATCCTCTGGGGTCACACTTCTAAACAGTGGTTCACAAGTGCCCTACCATTGCTGTACCCTAGAGTCCAAGTCCCTCTTGTCCTTAGCCCTGCAAGACTTTCAGAAACACAGCTCATTTTCTTAGTCTCCTCTTCCAAAGGGGCAGGTGTACCCAGGGAAGAAGTGGTTCCACATGCTGGGCTCACTGGCTGGTTCCTGTCCTCTCTGGAATGTCAGCCTACTGTACCTCATTGGCTCATGGATACTTTCAGATGTTTGCGCAGCTTTTTGGCTATCGGCAGTGGGGCAGTTGGGGCAGTTCACCTGGCCTCCTGTCTACTGATAATAGATGTCCTCTGTCTTCCTTTGTGGGCTCTGACCACTGGTATCATGAGCTGACTCTTTGCTATTGGGGAGCACTGCACATTGAGGTCCTGGGTTGTGGCCCACCGTGTTGTAGTTTCCTGACCCGACCTTTACCTACTTTGGAGGCTTTGGCATGGTTAGAATCTGCTTAGGATTTTCATAGGCTCTCTTAATTAGGGAACCTGTCTTATGGGTAGGAACTTCCACTTCCTTTCATTAAGAGGCCTAATCAAGAGAGATTGTATGTTGAAAACATTTTCTGAATTCTAAATCCCAATTAGAATAAGGGTTTATTTTGTTTTATTTTTCCCACAAGAATATTCTGAAATACAGATCAAAGAAAGCCCTTGGCTCTAACCTACCTTCACAACACATGCAAGAATGATAGAAAAATGCTGACTTGAAGGAGAACAGGAGACAGGGCAGGCCTGATGAACAGTTACCAGATACTTCTAGGAATCTTTGACCCAAAAAAGGGGCTGAAGTATTGGAATTGCATGTATTGATGTTCATATGTGCCATCCGCTTCCCTTTCAGAGTATTTGCTTGATGATTATGTTCCATGGGGCTGACCAGCGTCCTTCTGGCGACCTCCAGCTCTGCTGTCCCCACAGCAGCTGCCTACCACTTCAGATATCCCCCCTTCAGCACCTCAGTGCCTTCATATGAGTGATTGAACAACCCTAAAAGGAAAGGGGTTGGTCATTGGTGGGTCCTCACCCACATATTTATGGACAGCAGGCCACAACTCTAAAGCAGACATGGGGGAGAGAAAAACAACAGGATTTGCTTACAGGGAGTGAAACGAGAGATTTTACAGCCCATTGCAGTCTCTTCTGCCCCAGTGTTCATGGTCCAGAAACCATGGAGACCAAGGCAGGAGCAGTGGCAAGGTGGCATCGGCTCTCTCAATAGAGGAGGCAGGAGCTGTGTATGCAAGGTGGCAGCTGGCTCGCTGAGTGAGACCAGCCTGGATGGGCAATGTGGAAGGAGATACTGGTCTGCAGATAGAAGCAGTTTGACAGGAGCCACAGTGGCGAAGAAGGCAGCAGCTGGCCTGGCCATCAGAAGCAGATGGAAGCCAGCGCCTGGACAGGAACCAAGCTGAGGAGGAGGAATCAAGGGCAGCCCACAGAGGAGAAGGACTGGACGCAACTCACTTCGAGAGCAACTGCTCATGTTGGGGCCCCTCTAGTCTGTGGTAGCTCTGCTCTCTGTTCCCAGCAGCCCCTGTTCAGGACATTGTGGAGTCTGGTGACTGGAAAACTCCTTCTACCTTCCAGCATCATTCACTCACTGGCTCAGATGTGCTAGGAGTCACAGGGAAGGGGCCAGGGTGTCCAAGAAAGTTGTGAGTCCTCCCAATGTGCTATCAACTGCAGGTTGACTCCTGCTGCCTGGGCTCAGGGACGGCTGTCCTCCACCTATTTGACTGCCAGAGCAGCACTCTTGTCTCATGGCATCCTGCTTGCAGGATAGCAGCAGTGGCTCAAAGCTCTGTCTGACCCGGACCTGTTCAGCAACTGAACATTGCATGCACTGGGCCTGTGACATGCAGGCCTGGCAGCAGCGCTCTGCAGTCGGAGTGGCTGCCAGTGGTCTGTGCAAGCAGAAGTCAGAAACCAGAGCAGAGTGGCCCCAGGCAGGGGCGGTGGCCTCTGAGGCCCCCATGGAATCTGTTCAGAGGACATAGCCCAGGAGGGCAGCCAGTGAGGTATCCAATCCAATCGTGAAACCACAGGACAGCAGGTGCAGGGAGCCACCAGCACAGCCCTGAATCACCGTGTCCTCTGCCTCTAGGAGCTCACCTCAGCAGGGCAGCGACTGAGGGATTGCAGTAGGAGGCAAGGCTGAGGGCCCCAAGCCAGCACTGAGTGACTCGTCCCCATCGTAAGGAGCCTGTGCAAGCCAGGCTGAGACTCCCACACTTCCTGCTTTTCCCACCCACTCCATAGCCTGTCCTGTGTCCTCCTCTCTAAAGATAGGACAAACTGAAAATGTGGGAAACTCAGGCAGCACGGCAGCCATGCTCCCTCTGACTCTCCAAGGAAGACTCATTTCCTGCCTCTTCCTACTTTCTGGTGGTTCCCAGTAACCCTTGGCGTTCTTTGACTTGTAGTAAGTTTCTGCCTCCAACTTCACATCTTTCTGTCTTCACAAGCTTTCTCATAATGGTACCAGTCATTGGACTTAAGGCCCATTCCAATCCAGTAGGACCTGATTACCACTGCAAAGACCCTATTTCTAAACAAGGTCACACTCACAGGTATTGGGAGTTAGGGCGTCAGTATGCCTTCTTAGAAGAACACAAGTCAACCTGCAGCCACACTTATTAACAGTGCCCTTCCGTGTCTGTGGTCTCATCATCACATCTGCATCAGAGTCTAGAGCCTAGGTCTTAGGGCTGGAAAGCTCAGGGAGATATTAAAACCCAGACCTGGGAATTCAATTCCAGTGCCCTCTCTACTGCATGATATCACACCACAGAACTGTCTTAACAATTCCTTGTTCTTCCTCTATAAATATAATTTATAAAAATGAAAAGATTAGCTTGTACTTCGAACAGCACTAAACACTGTTTTTGAGCTAGATGCCACCCCATTTAGGAGTCAATTACTCTCATGTGAACCTAAGCTCTTCATGTAACGTCCTTACGTTTCTACAGGGCTACCACAGGATTAGGCATGGAGGTGTAGCCACGACCAAAAGCCCTGCCTGGTGGAGCTTCTACCCAGAGTCATGAAGCTGACACAAGGTAACATGCCTGAAAGCAACCAAAGAAGTGGAGGGGCTGCGCAGACCTGAGGGGAATGGTGAGAACAACAGGGAATCGAGGCAGTTTTATTTGGGCAAATGAGCAAAGAGGCACCTGGGCATGGCCACTGCTGAGAGTGGTACCCCGGTTCCTCAGCCTCAGCCAAGAGTCACTGCAGGTATGTGAGAGGCTTGGGAGTGGAGCGAAGGACTCCTCTAATGTGAACTTGGAGGTAACAGCACCTCCTGAGTGTGTAACCAGGAGTTCATACAAAGTACGTGAAATCAAAGATATGCAAAATTACCCTAAGGGATGAGATGGCCGGTAAGACTAGGCAGTACCCTGGCCAACAATTTGTCAAAGCCAAGAGAAAAACATAATCCGAGGAGTCGACCTCTGGCTCTTGTGTGCCTACACTTCTGACATATATAGTGGTGATGTATCATCTAATAAGGTAGGGCCCTCCCTGGTGGTGCAACAGGTCAAAGTGCAGCACTATGAAGCTATCACAGCCACAAGTTCGATCCCCAGCCAGAGAGGTGACCCACATGTCATAGCAGACCTCGCCTGACACACCCGCTGCTCCCCTCAGCAGTGTATTTCACTACATATGCCTGTTCTGCTCCCCACTGTCTCTGGTGAATTCTCTCACTG